AGTCAGATTAGACCAAAAATGGAATATTGCTGCTATATCTGGCCTGGAGCTGTTTTGGCTCATTCTATTGCTTCAGAAAGTACCTGACTCCTGCTGCTATGCTTTATCTTTGCAAGAGTCAGACTAGACCAAAAATGGAGTATTGCTGCTATATCTGGGCTGAACCTGTTTCAGCTCATTCTATTGCTCCATAAAGTACCTGATTCCTTCTGCTATGCTTTATCTTTACAAGAGTTAGATTATTGCTGCCATATTTGGGCTGGATATGCTCAATTCTCACTTTCCTCCTTGATAGAGTTGAAAGTTGTTTCCATGTTTTTGTGGAGAGTAGATCTATTCTCCACTTTTCTCACAAACATTACATTGTAAGCCTATCCCTCTGTCACCCATGGTAAATGTTCAGATGATCTTTATTATTTAGTTTCACAAATTCAAACCTTTACTGCTAGAACATTCCATGCTGCTTCCACAGAACCAAATCGCCATTATTTCCTCCATATTCTAATTAAAAGTTAGAAATTTGACTCAGACAGCTTTTCCCACAGAAGTGCTACTTTTTGGAACAGACTTTCACAGGGATGTTTTCCTGAACACTACAATATTCACCTCTTTCATTAGGTCAATCATTATCTATCCTCCATAATCTCATAATAATGAATCTTGTTTTGGGTGAACTTTACTATAACAAAAAATACTCCTCTTATTTACATTATTTACATTGTTTGGACTGTTCTCCACATTTGTCATATTCATGACGTTTCAGCCATTGTACACTTTGACCTTCTTCAGGATCTGTCTATATTTCTGAGATAAGGTATTATAACTATTTACACTACTTACATTGTTCAGACTCTTTTCCTCATCTTTATCGTCATATTCATGATGTTTCGGCCATTGTATGCTTCGGCTTTCTTCAGGATTTGTCTATATTTCTGAGATGAGGTATTATAACTATTTACATTGTTCAGACTGTTGTCCTCATCTTTATTGTCATATTCACAACATTGTCCTTCCTTAGTTATCTCCCTTTAACTCAACTCTCCAAGTTTTTGTTCACCACTGCAGTAGCCAGGGATTGAACTCAACAACAGCTGAAACGTCATGAATATGACAATAAAGATGAGGACAAGAGTCTGAACAATGTAAATAATTACAATGCCTCATCTCAGAAATAAAGACAAATACTTTTCTTATTTATATTTCTTCAAAAATCACCGACCACATTCTAAAGTTTAATTCTATTTGACTATTTCTTTTAAATTCTGAAAACTATAACCCAAGCATAATCAATAGTTCTTTGAGATTAGTTTTAGGAATGTGGTGCTAGTTGTTAAAAACCACCATGAATTCTGTCTGTGAGGCTGGATTTTAATCTTCATCTTTTATGAGAATCAATAAATAGTTCAAGATTCTAAGAACTCCTTCCAATGCTTTGTGATTGACTTTATTATGTGGTCAGAAGAACTTACCTCTTATAGTGTTGGGCAATGCATTGACCAAAAATAGAACAGTGACTCTGACTACATTCTCTCTTCAATTGAAAAGAAACTGTAAGGAAATAATTTGCCCATTTTCAATGTAACTTTTTTGCTTAAAATAAAAAGCACAAGATATTTTCTTTTTCTAAACATGACTAATTAAAAAACTTGGCTCAACTAACTCCTTAAAAAAAATAATATTAAAACCTCCTGTTTATGTAACCCCTGCTATCATAGGTAGGATTTATTAAAAAGATATGGCAAAACTTTCATCCACTTTATTAGTGCTACTGGTACTATGCGACTGAAAGTGTTTTCTCCTTATTGGTTGGGTATCTGCCAATGAAGAGGGATAGAAAACTTAGCAGCACCGGAATCGAACACTGAATCACGATGGGCAGGGCTCGGACAAGACTTCCACATGGGAATACCATACATATATGATGAACACAGCTGAAACACAAACAATGACAAACAAATTTGAAACAATGCTGGGTAACATGAACAGAAATCCTTGGTAATACATAGTGACCCCATTATACAGGTTACATGGCAGACTGATACTTACTTGAAAATGTGTCTTTTTATAGAGCCTAAAAGCTTAGTGGTTGGCTAGCAAAAGGAACCATTTGCATAGCTAACACCACTCAGCTCACTGTCCTGACTATTTCATGGAGAAGATGGTAGACACTTTCTGTCTTCATAATACAGACATTCCAGGCTTTGCACCGGATCTGTTCTTTCTGTAGAGACAGCATATTAAACGTCATCTCTTTGACTGATATGGGTGGGAACTGTTATCAGTAGTGATTGCCTGTTCTGTCTGTGTTTCATTTCCGAAACAGTAACCGACTATCTATCTGCTACATAGTTGGGTTATTGGTGAACAAACCACTTCCCCACCCAGGCTTTTTGGTGAGAAAGGTGGCTAGACACCCAAGAGGATTTAAAACAAAACTGATCAGAGGAGTATGAACCTTCTTCAACAGCCATTTAGAACAGTGGTGTCGACTGGGTGCCATAACTATGTTTGCAGCCAGTTCGAATGATGACATGAGCAGAGGGATTCCTAGACTGAAGTTAACAAGCAGGGAGGAAGGTTCCTCTAATGGGATTGGTGTTTATATGTTTGTGACCAAGGTGAGCCTTCAAGTTGGAGGACAGCACCTGTGGAATGGGCTCTGCCAGGTTTATTTTCCCAAGATACGCTATACATGAATGAATACTTCACCAGCTTTCAACACGGATATGTGGAAGGAACTTGTCAGGTGTTCAATTGCACAGTGATCCCACGACCACACCCAGTCATTGGACTGATGATGATGTTAAGTGATTTAGTGATGCTGTCAACCAGTGATTTCTTTTCTTCTCATTTGGTGAGTAGATGTTGTCACCATCATCATCAACAGACTTCATTATTATTTATAGTGACACTGTAAAGTTTTTTTGGTATGAGATAAAAAAAATTATGTTCCAATAACAGTTGCATTTTACTACTGATTGCATTTAAAACTGGATTAAAACAAGGTTTCATTTTTACTTGTCACTGCCCACTGACTTTATCCCTACTCCATGGTTTATCATTTGTCATGTACTACAAATTGAAGACAATATATTGCAACAGACAGAATAGTATTATCATAGGTATACTACTTGTACAACCTAGAGAATGTGCAAAATTTTATTGTTCTCATGGTTGTGTGTTTTTAAGAGTTAGTCTCTCTCCTTGAAAAGACTTCTTTTTTTACAGCTTACGACCATATCATATTGAAACACTGCTTCCTGTATGATCACCAGACTTAAGTAGCATTGAGCCTGGCCAGTACCTAGATGGGTGACTTCTTGCAAATACCAGGTGTTATATTAGCTTGGATCTGTATGTGGTGGATAATGGATGGCTTGGAATTGTTAATTGGAGAGCTGTTCCAATTCCAGTTGGGTTTGTATAATTAGTAAGGCATGTATGATTAAATCATTATTATCTTCAAACAATTCTTACAGTCTAAAAACATATTTTCTTGCTTTAAATAACCTGAAAAGTATTGATAACCCATAAAAAATGAATCAGGTGAATCAATCAATTCTTTTTTTAGGCTATTGCTTTATAATTTCATGGCATTAAGAGTTGATGAATTATTTAGATTTGTATTCACACTGTTGTTCAAGAGGATTTCAAGGCAAATCTTTGATTTCATTTACAAGACTACACCATTCTAATCTCTTTGTTTTTCACAGCTCATACACTTTCTAGGAATGGAAACCAATTTAGTATTGTTTGCAATAGTCTTAGCAATTTGCAGATAATAAAGAAAAGGTATCTGTGGATCTGACGGGACAATGGGATGGGATAAAAAATATACTTCTCTTCTGATTTCTTGCTTCCCCACCACCTAGAATCTTCAAAAACTTAGTTGCAACATCAATCGTCATCTTCTTTGTTTCTGAACCCTGTTCTTTTGTTGTCCTTTCTCCCCATTAAAGTCTTCTTCTCTTCTACTACCCTTTCCCAGTAACCCTTACATCTTAGTGGCATTATTGCCTTGTTTTGGATGAAATGATTACCCTCCCTAACTATCATAAAAAAAAAAAAACTTCCAAGGAATTACTGGATGCAACATTCACTCGATGTAGGCTGAAAAATAAAGAAGTTGGCACTACTTAAGTTAATTAGCTTGCTCGTTAAAAACAGAGAAGAATTTTTTAAATGATTTTTGTAGATTAAAATTCATTAGATCATTCTCTAGCCATGACATTTGTTTCAATTGAAAAATTATCACTTTAGAAGTGGATATCATGTTCATAATATAAAGCCAGTGTCAAAATGATCCCTGACATATTAAAGCATTATCTATATTTTGTTTTTATTTATAAATGCTAAGTTTGAAACTGGCTTACATCATTGGCATCTGCAAACTATTATGGATTAGGAGGAAATACATGGAGTTATCAATGATGTAAACACTGTTTCAAGTTTGACATTTGTAAATAAAAACAAAGTATAGATAACTCATTAAAAAGTCAGGTATGGATTTGCCACTGTATTTATATTATGAACAGGATCCATCTTCTAAAACATCACATCTAAGAACATGACTGGAATTTGAACTCTGCTCTCTAATTTCTCATTCTTAGCTTCTATTCATTGCACCATTCATACATCCTTCTCAAAAGGGAAACAGAGTTGGTGTAGACAGGGAATTGTAGTTTTGTGCCTTTAAGCACAAAATATTCTCTTAATTTCACGCAATCAGAAATTCTTCACAGTTAAACATTTTGTTTTGAAATTTTGTCATGTTGGAGGGGGTGACCGAGTTGCAACTATGATAGCTCTTTATTCTGCTCCAACTTGAACTCTAAAGCCAATTCGAACTGCCTGAGGGCAAAAACTGAAATGAGTATTTGGAGAACCCTTAGAAGGGTGGGTAGAGTCTAGGGCCACAAAATTTCCCATTAATTATTTATATTTCTCAATTCATCATTTTTCGTCCTTCCCCAAATTTGGCAGACTGTCCCTTTGTTCAGTCTTTCTCATTGCTACTTTGTAATCTCATTAGCTCAATTCTTTCTTACCATCATGTCTCTTATATCAGTCAGACATCCACTCTTGGTGAAATCCCAGCAAAAAAAATATTTTCTTTTTTGAACTAATTGTTCACTCAATACAATGCCCCAAAGCCATTAATCGTAATGGTGATATTATCCATTTCCCTAAAAGGAAACATTTAGCATTCATTGACTGAGCAGCCAATTTTGGTTGTAATTTATAAAATATTTTTCTTAAACAATTTTTCAGAAAAAAGGTTTTTCAAATCCAGTATTATCATTCTTTCCAGTATTAATGGCAGTTTCCTTCCTAACCTTTTATTTGAAGTGGTGTGGAATGTTGAATCTTGATTATAACATTATTTTCTCTTTGAGTTCCATGTGCTATCCATTTTAGTTGTTGCTGCTGTTGGTAGTTCTCAGGTGATGTGGTTTCTGTTATTTTGTACAGTTCTTTGTGAATCGGTATCGCCAATCTACAATGCTCAAAGAGTGATGATCTTTGCCAAGTCTCTCAAAGCCTTTTTTCACTATTGAACTTAAGGAGTAGTTGTATACAGCTGACAGTTTAGATATTTCTGAACAGGTTGGCACCATGCATGGCATCCATATGAAAGTCTTGATCTGATGAGGCTATTTTAGAACAGGAAGTTAAGTAACTACAAGGAATTTCAGGTTTTAATAATAATAATAATAAGGATGGTCTTCACCATGATCCTCCGCTTTTCACTCTCTCAAAACCATTTTTAACCATTGATCTGAGAAAGTGATTATGTACAGCTGACAGCTTAGATATTTCTGAATGTATTTGGCACTATGCACGGCATCCATATGAAAGTCTTAATCTAATGAGGCTATTTAAGAACATGATTTGAGTTTTTAGGTTGATGTTTTGATTTTGTAGCAATTTGCAGAACTACCTCTGGTGTATCTTATTCTGTTTTCGGTTTCTTTTTCTCCGATGCTTAATTTGTTATAAATAATCCATATACTGCAGTATCTGAGATACTGAATAACGTTGTTTATCAACCCTTTGTATTTAAAACTGAAACATTTTGAATTATACCATTCTTTTTTTGGTGATTGAATATTGCATTAAAATATTTTTTTTATCAATAACAATAATCTTTCCAGATACAAATCCTAATATTTAATCCATAACTGGGGGAGGAAATGGATTCATACCTTTCCCAAGGATATTTGTGTGCAAGTGAATATAACAAACCTGACTGGAATTTGAACTCCGTTCTCTGATTTCTCATTCTGAGCCACTATCCATTACACCACCCACATCCCCCTAAGATTCTGAGATAAGGCAGGATTATGAATTATTTGAATGAATAGCTTCATCATTATTGCATTTGACACATTATTTGTACTTATCTATTCTCCAGTCTTGAAACACAATAACCAAATTTAAGCAACATTGAGCCTGGTCAGTACTTAAATGGGTGACCACTTGGGAAAACCAGGTGCTTTAAGCTTGGATGCGTGGGTGACATAATAGATAATGGCTTGGAATTAGAAATTGGAGAGCCAAGTTAAAATTCCAGTTGAGTTGGTTATATTTACTTAAGCACAAATACTCTTTGGAAAAGTATGAATTCACCTCTTCTCCCCCCAGTTATGGGTTAATTAGTTGCATTTTTATCAGTAAATCCTTATTATCTCTAAAAAACAGTTTTGTAATCTAAAAATATTTTCTGCCTTTAAATAACCTGCAAAAGGGTTGGCAAGTCATAAAAACAAATCAATCAATCAATGCAACTTTCATCAACTGAATGTTGGATCCAGTAATTCCTATGAAGTGTATTTTTACCAATGCCATGTTCCTTCAGTAAAATGTTCAAGTTGGTGGTTGAGTGGGGGTGGTGGTGTCATATGTTTTACTGATGGTGTATAAGATATATTTATTATAAGAAACCATAATTTATCATTGAAATATGCCTTCCAAAAGCTAAGCAAAGTATTAAGAAACATGAAAATTTTGTTAGAAACAAAGAAAAAAGTATTGAACTGCTACGTAATATCAATCCTCCTATATGGCAGTGAATGCTGGACAATCTCACCGCAGATAAAAATGAGGTAACAGAAATGTGGTTCTACAGAAGCATGCTGAGAATAACATAGACTGACCATGTGAGCAATGATGAAGTTCTAGAGACAATGACAAGAAAAAGGGCACTTACACTTACATCAGAAAGAGTTAAAATTTCTATGGAACATACAAATAAACAGGCTGACTCAGTTTAAGCACAGTAAGCAATGTTGTGTCATTAATGGTACACTTGCTGATTAATAACTATAAAACTCTATGAAATACATTGTACAATGTACAGTTTACTGACAGAAGTTTTGGTTGCACTAGTATTGAACTGAGATGTGCTTTGATACAACTTTGAAATTCTGTTAATAATATCTGATACTAAACTATTCTCTATTAACCAACTGAGAGACACCCCATTGCCTTCCATCTGCATGGCTGATGCTAACTTCCAGGAGAATGACTCATTGCACCTTCTCAGGTTAACATTCTTGGCTGAAATGAAGTGGAAAGACTATGCTGTATCCATTACTAGATCTGCTGCCAAGAAAGTTGGTTCACTGTATCATGATAGATAATTTTTCTCTCCAGAATCTATCTTACGTATCTATAAGTCTACCATTCGCCCATGATTTGAATATTGCTGCCACATATGACCCGGTGCTCCTGCTATATATTTAGAGATTCTTGATAAAATCTAAAGAATCAGTAATATTATTGGCCCTGAACTGGCATCTTGGTTTCAAGCAGTTTCCTTCCACCATAATGTTGCTTCCCTGTGCCTTTTCTAAAAAATACTTTCATGGTAATTGTTCAAACTCTTCGCTGTGTTTTCATATTGTAAATACTCATTGGAGCTAGTTTTTAAATTGTTGTTTTATTCCTTTCCCCCACAGACAATGAATTGTACATATGGGGAGTAAGGATTTTCATAGAGACATGAGGTATTATGGCGAATGTAGCAAGAAAGGTAAGTAAGAATATGTTGTTTTGGTGTAAGGAATATTGCTGTATGTTTGGGTCAGTGATTATGGCTAGCTAAGTTTAAAGTTAAGACAGATGAAGACCGTCCTTTTCCCTCATTCCGCATTTTGACCTTGTGCCACATTTTGTAAATAATTACAAATAAATTCGCTATGGTACCTAGACTTTATGAATTTAAGTGCTGTACTAGATTGGTAACAAGATCTCATCAATTTACAGTTGAATTGACTCGATGTAATCTAAGTTCTATGCTAATAGTTTCTTTTCTCGCTCTTCTCACCTGTGGAATTGTCTTCCGGCTCCATGCTTTCCCGCCAAATTTGATCTTCAAAAGTTTAAATCCCTTTTTTTGTTATTCTTTCACACTCACTAACCCCTTGTTCTTGTATCATAGTGGCTTTACTCTCTTGTATGGAGTGAAATGTTTATGTTAATTTGCCTATCATTATGCATCGTTTTATCTTGGGGCTGGGAAATCTGTGGAGAATTGCTTAAATTGCTAATTGCCTATATTCTATGACTTATAGGTCTATGAAAGTATGAATGGGTTGGTGTTCATCGTGCAATGATACCTGAAATTGTTAAATCTATGAATATTTTCCACAATATCGTCTTTAAAAATTGAATGCCTTTCAGCCGGAATTGTTGCGTGAAAAGGAATGATAAATTTTACAATGTATGTCTTACTATTGTTACAACAGACAAGAAAGAAATTAATTTCAGCAGGAGTTGTAAGAAAGAAATACAACTTTGTACGCTCATTCATTCAGTTTCTCCATTGAATGATTCTAGTAGAAAAACCAACCCCGAAGTATCCGATTGTCTTTTTGTTGCTTGCACAAAGTGAAACCTCTCATTAATTTTGATACAAAGTGGTTTAACTTGGATAGCCACAAATAGCTGGATAATTAAAAACAAATACTCATTTTTACCTTGACGGCATCAACATTGTTCATAATAATTAACACTTGAGGGAATAGTAAAAACGGTCGTAAACATTGCAGTTTAAGTTTTAAAAAAAGTAAACAGATTGCTGCATTTCCCGTATTACAAATGGTAAGATGCACAATTAACTCGGTATTTAAAAAAAGAATGAGAATATGACTTACCGGGCTAGTAAATCTATGTTTCCATTCTCCTGTAGACTCTTCCACAACACAACCAGCCTTACCTCTTTGTAGGAAATGCACTCTTCCTATCTAGTAAGCCAAATTCTACCTTCAGACAATATAACAAGTATTCATTGGTCAATCACCTCCAATCTGGCTTGCTGATTGGTCAGTTCCGACCAATCAAACCGCCTGCACGCGACTAAACTGTTTTCCCGCTCATACGCTGCGAGCCACCCGGTGATTATATAAAGAGAAAACGTGAGAACCTTCGTGGGAGAGGAGCAGTAATTACCAAGTTTCAAGATGTAACATTCACCGACTCCCGTCTTAGTCATTGCTGACCAGACGTTAAAGACAATTACCAACTTCATGCAGTCAGACCTCTTCACCTAGAGAGAAGCCCATCAACACCACACACCAGTCAAAACTCTGACTTTGCCGCGTTAAAATATTCACTGACTCGGTAACGTTCGAGCACACTCTATCTCTCTCTAGAACATTTTCTCGAACTTCACTTACTATACTTTTCAAAGTGATATTTCTCACTACATAACAAGTATCAGTAACTAACAATCCATTTTTTCTCGAGCAGATAAAGGTACGCAACTTCGAATATTTGTATAAATTGTATATAAATTGATGTTAGTGTTATGCATTCAACTTTTGTCTTGTTTTCAACTTTATTTGCATGATTTGTTCCAAGTATTTGTTCTAAATAATTGTTGTGGACGAATGTTGTAGAACACGGCCTCGAAATTCCTTCTGATCAATTTAAACACGATCACCAGTCCACAACACTCCTATATGGATGTGAAACGTGGACACTGTTGTCAGATACAGAGAGAAGGATCCAAACGTTTGAGAACAAATGCACGTGAAAAGTCCTTGGCATTGGGAACATAAAATCAATGAGTTTGTGCGGAAAAGGGTTGAAAGATTTGTGGGCCACCAGGAACCTTTTCTCGCTACTGTCAAATGGAGAAAATAGTGTGGTTTTGGACACGTTGTAGTGAACAAAAAAAGATCTAGATTTAAAATTAAAATGCCAAGCGCTGACTCATTGATTTTGTTAGAAATTAAAAAGACTCGAATTTACAAACTTTGTGTAACACACACGCAAAAGCGAATCCAAAACAAAACTCGTGAAATTAACAAAATTAATGAGTCAGTGCTTAGCATTTGAATTTTAAATCTAGATCTTGTTTTGTTCACTACAACGTTACAAGGCACGACAGCCTGTATAAGACCATCATGCAAGACACCGTTGAAGGTTGACATAGGAGAGGACGCCAACGCAAAACAATAGACAAGTATGACTGTACCAGAATTACTGATGGCTGCCGTTGATAGACCGTTGTCGAGGAGATTCAGTATGACTTCTGAATTCGGATCACCCCCGCCTACGATTACAAAAGTCAAGGTGGTGGTGATGATGACGATGATGATGATGATGATGATGAGCAAATCCAAGTCACCGACTCTACGGTGTCATTTTTCTTTCTGTCACAACAAATTATCACATTTTGGACAGATTATTAGATATTTGTGGTTATTATTAATTAGAGATTCAAGAGTTTGGCACATTTTTATAATTATTCACATCAGAAACATAAAAAATTTATTTCCTGCTAAATTTAAGTTCTTGTGCCAAACATAAAAACTTAGTAGAAATAACAAGACATAAAAATAGGCGCGAAATTTCTATCTATAAAAGGCAGGATGCGTGTGCACCCTGTATATTACATGGCCGGGGTTGGGGTTTGTCTAGATGAACATAGTTCTTCTCATCAAAATATTCTCTCTTCTTCTTTCCAGAAAAGAATAATTCTGGCTTCAGACCAAAGCAGGATAGGGAATTCTGCTAAAAATATCACTTGGAAATAAGCCATTAGAATTCTCAAAGAGCAAAAACAGGCCTCAAGAAGTTGCAGAATGTCTCTAACACACGTCATTCTTGAAGATTTATTTTAGAAACAACTTAGGGGCAGACTTAGTTAAATAATATATTTCTAAAGCTAATTGGCAGCTAATTAATGACTACTCTTAGTCATTGTTGGTGTCAGTTTGCAATGAACTCGTGTCAGATCTGTTATTTCTGTCCACTGATTCCACTCGGCTAAATCTTCGTTATGAAAAGGAGATGAGTTTTCAGTTTCACAATAGCCAGTCGTTCGTTACTGCAAATTACTATGGCTTCCGATTTATTACTCTGGACACGGCATCTCGGCTTCAATCATTTTCACATCACCATAATGTAAACTTATCTGAGCCTTTTTCCTATAAATATTTTCATGACAATTCTTTTGATGAGTTTTCTTCTTTGGTACCTTGACTTCACGAGTTTAATCGTAGTTAGGATTGCCAGATTAGAAAAGTAGAAATATGGGACACTCTTAAAATATCTATCTATCTATCTATCTATCTATCTATCTATCTATCTATCTATCTATCTATCTAAATTTATACATGCCTACAGACCCAGGCCAATATATTATGTAAAAGGAGAGACATAAGTTAATAAGTAAATAAATTAAGTAAATACTAAACATCAGCCTGCAACAATCAATCCAAAAATTTGAAACTCTGCCTGGAGGAAAAATATCTATAATTATCTTCCCAGACTAAACAAACTACTAAATAAATGATCAGAACACGTCTTAAAATGCAGACACGGAAACAAATTTTTACTACGTTACTTAAAAATTGAAAACTGAAAATGAACAAGAATAAATGAAAATAATTAAATTAAATAAATAGACAAAAACAAGTAAAACAAATTAATCCAAACGAGCAAATAAGTAAATAAAGTAAATATTAAACAAATTATGAAACCACGAATGCAGAGATAAAAAAATAAAAAACGCAGTAATAACCAACAATAAAATAACCAATAATAATTTTTTAAAAAAGTTAACAACACTATGAATAGCCAAAATCTGCATTCAGATCCAGTATTTTTACCACTCAATAGCCCCCAGAATAATTTGAAACCATTAACGCTCAAAAAAATAAAATTTAGAATAATACAATAGTCTACCCACAATGCATCACTGACCTGTATATATAAATAGTCGAGAAAAAACACATCGCACATGGCCTGAAAATTGCGTTTCGCATAAAACAGACTGTCACTTCTTGGTGTTAACTTCAATGTGCACTTTCATATATATATATATATACATGCCTACACACCCAGATCAATATATTATATAAAAGGAAAGGCATAAGTTAAAAAAAAAAAAGTAATGATTTTAATGGGTTATTAGGGAAATAAAAGTAAAATCATTTGAAAATTATCTAATAAAAGTTAAGAAAAAGAAATTCTGTAAAAGTGAAACCATTTGAAAAAAAATACAGACAACAGAGAAATAAGCAAAAAGAATCTGCAAAACCGAAATCAATGTAAAATTTTTATTTAATAAACAAAATATAGAAAAAATTTTTTTTAGTATGGAAGCATTTGGATATTATTATTTGGTTCTGGCATTTGATAATTTCCTTGCAATTTTAGAATCAGGAAATACTGTTGGTAGTAGCAGGTCCGTACAGTTATTTTGTGGAATAACACAGTAATTCCATCTACATTTTACGCGCGCGAGAGTTTTCCTCCCTTTCCTACCACAATTGTGCGTGTGTGCGCACGCGCGGTTTGCACCCCTTCCTCTCTCGTTCAATTAGACATAGCAGTAGCCATCCTTTTGTCGTCGACTTCGACCTTGCTGGTTACTCCTGATAGCTGTCTAGGACGGATTTTGAATTTTTTTCCCGCGCGTTTCTTGACGTCACAGACGTCCAGCGTTTCCAACTCAGTTGCATCCCGATCTTCAAGCTGGACGGACAACTCATTTATTCCGTGCCCCTAACCCATACGCGGGCCGGAATATCTTATGCTTAACTAACTAAAACTTCAACATGTCGATATTACTCTTTTCCAAGACCCATTCTCGTCTTGATGCAACCCGCACGTTGAACCTTCTCCGTTTTCAACTAGAAAACGTCGAGTTCCTACGACACCGTCGTCAATATATATTTTTCCAAGACTTATCCCCGTCTTGATGCAACAGCTTGTTGAACCTTTTCTCCATTTTCAACTAGAGAATGTCGAGTTCCTAAGACACCGTCGTCAATATACATTTTTCCAAGACTCAACCTCGTCTTGATGCAAACAACTTTCGAACTTTCCTCTATCTACAAACAACTCTGAATTTCTCCTCAATGGAAGTTGATAATCTGTTCATACACCTTTGAACCTTCTAACTACTTTGAACCAGTACCTAAAAAATATTACATACACTCACACTATCAAAGTTTACAGTGAGTACTTTTCCTATTTGTGTACACATACACCTTTCGTTTAACAAGTCATTTTTCCAGAACTTTCTTTCTGATGGAACTGTTCCCGCCTTGGCCATCTTGGTTTTCTGTTTTGGCGCGGAACACTTTTACTAATGGTCTCAACTGTCAAGACAATTACTTGTTTAAATATAATAAAATTTCATGTATGTTTTTCAACCAGACGCCATTTGTCGTTTAATTCCGGCTATCTACTTGTATTGTTATTTATGCACTTGTTGATTGACCCCTTTTCCTCACTAAGTTCACTCACGCAATATATTCATACTTTGCTTGTGGATTCGGTAGTTTTGTGTAGTGTCTGGCACAAGGCCACTTTTTAATAAACCAGCACTGCACGCTACCGAGTCCGCAACAATTTGAACTGAATGACTGATGACGACGGACAGTATGAAAGTGAATTGCAACTTCTCCGATTCTTTTACAAGGCGCTTCGAAAATCTTGTTAGCCCTAAATAATATCATTTTGTATTTCAGATGGCTACCACGAAAATGGTGGTGTTCATACAGAGCTTCTCAGTGTGTGAAAGCAAATGAAAATTAATAAACTGAATCCAGTACATGTGCTTTGTATTACTGTATTACTTGTTCTCACGACATTTTGGTAGGGGGTGACAAGACTTTCTGATCACCATGTAACTTTCTTCATCTGTGTTTTTCTTGATCAAGAAGTTTATTATGTTATCAGCTTCTTTTGAAGAAAAGGCAACACTACGTTTGTACTTGTAGTGGGTTAGCTTGTCGCAGTGTGTCCAATCACCACTCCCACCTTTTCTTAAACAACCCCGGATATGCCTGCTGGTAGAGAAAGGTCACGACCCTTGTGTGCTAAAAATAGCAACGACATCCTTTCAAACTGACAGAAACACACAAAACTCAATTTTCGCCACTAAACAAAAATAAAAGACCTTTAATTTTGAACCGAAATTAATTTAAATACGGTCAACAAACACCAAACACACTTTTGACTGTAATTTATACGGCCCGAGCCTTCCTGAATCGCGATTTTGACGCGCCCAGTCAAGTCGACCGAGCCCAGCAGCTGACGGGACCCAGCATCAGCAGCAGCATTTGTTCAAACAGTCCTTTTCAGGGCTAACTTCTGAAAGTCATTCGATCACTACTCTTCGAGGCTCCACTCACTTCACTCTCTGCTACTGCCTTCCCTCTGAGACGCCAGATCACTCCTGCAGCTTCCAGCACTCCTGCAGCTTCCAGCTCACTCCTACAGCATCCAGATCACTCCTGCACCTTCCAGCCCTCCTGCAGCCTCCAGCTCACTCCAGCAGCTCCCAGCACACTCCTGCAGCTACCAGCTCACTCCAGCAGCTTCCCGCAGTTTCCAGCTCACCCCTGCAGCTTCCAGCAATCTCCGGCTCACTCCTGCACGCTTCACTCCTGCACGCTTCACTGACGTCCAGCGACCAGTTCCAACTTCCGGATACCGTTCCCGAACAAACGACCTCTGTCGTCTTTCTATCCACCGCTCGCAAATAAAGACACGATTTCTATCGTCTACAACGGACCATCTGCGTTTGTCATCCTTCTTTGCTATTGCCATCTCCTTGCCTTTTGTGTCCCCTTTTTAGTTGTACGGTCGATTGGCACTCACACCTCTCGGCCCGCTGCAACAAGCTAATCTGTATCGGTGATAAAATACAAATTAAACTGACCCTCTACAATTTTTACAATATCAAATGCAACAAAGACAACAAGAAGAGAAATAATCACATAGCCAGGTTTTTGTTTTAATAGAAAATATTTTTATATAACAACAAATACACACGTTATAATAAAGTTGTTCAAAACACTTTAGAGTTCTTGGTTGTGTGATCAAGAGTAATATAAAAGGTGTTATACTATAGATCTGGTAAGAAATTAAACAGTTTATGTTCATGGTGAAATTGAATGAAATAGATTGCTCGACTTATTGTAGAGTTGTCTTGCTTCGACTGATATAGTTACGATTTCCTTTATGTTGTTAAGATATTGATTGAGTTGGTTTATGTATCTTGTCCTGGTTGAATTCGTTACTAGATGAGTTGAAAAGAAATTGAATTCCACAAACCGGTTGATGTTAATAAAAATTAACTTTTAGCGAGGAAGTTGGGTTTCATGGATTCGTGTGACGAGTTGATTATTTTAAGAACTCACTAAGTCCTGTCGAAGTTTCATATTTATGAATTTTCTTGATCACGTTGTGGGCTTGAGAACGTTTACATTTTTTTGGCGCGTTGAACTCTGAACAGGTCAACTCGAGGTCAACCGTGCGGGTGTAGGCAGAAACATGACATTATTATTTATGGACCAATCAGAAAGCATTGTTTCGTACTGAACTCTGGAGCCAATTTTAATGGGTTCAGCACAAACTGAGAATACTTAGCTGTGATTCTCTTTTAAAAGGTTTAAAACAGAGAATGTAGAAATCTAATTCTACATACTTTGCTGTTTCTATGTGTTGCTTCATATCAGAATTTTCGTCATATTCAATACTGAAAGGTTCAATTACATACACCACAGTTTGCTTCAAAAACAGCTTCTGCCATGTTTGATAAATTTTCGTTCGATGGAATATTCATCACAAAATTTACACTTTCGTTTTGGTATCTTGGGATGGATGATGGGTTAGTTTTTAAATTAGAAAAAAAGTGAAACGTGGCAAGTAGTAATAGCACACTTGTTGACAGTATGCTTCAATGTAGATACAGAACTGCACTATTAGAATTTTATTTGAGAACCACTACTGTGACATATATATAGAGAGACCCCTCACCCCGAGGTGGATTTAGTAATCAACAGTGCTAAAGAATTAGGATGAAGGTGCTAATTATTTGGGTAGAAGGGATGCCGGAGTAATTCCAGAAATAAGTTTATTTTTTTTTCTCTTAATAATTGTTTCTGGGGTTGAGTCATTAGTTAATTAAATGTAATAATTCCAAAGTGATTAAGAGACGGATTCGTTAAAGTAAAGTTTGCGATAAATGGTGAATTGGATTTTTGGGTGGTCTGAATAGCGGAATTCAATCAGACGGGATAAGTGGTTTTAGCAAAATGTAAGTATACGTTGTCTGCGGAAGATCCAGCAGGAGGTCCGAATCCGATTTTAGTACATCTTGAAAACTGGTTGCCTGCGGAGATCCGGAGATTAGGCGGAAACACATGGTGGTCCAGGCGATTTGCATATTAAAATTCGGGGGGTTAGATGGTTTAGCTCTGCCTCTCTCTCTATAAGCTGCCTGCACGCTTGAGTTAGTCAGATGAGTTCGGAGATCAGAACGCGGAAGAGGCGGCTTGTTGGAATTTGCTGGTCTGTTGGTTGCCCTGTGTCAAGAAGACCGATCCGAGCCAAGAGATCGAAATAGAACCCGTACGAATCCAGATAACTTCGTCAACAAGGCTGCGAGAAGGCAGACTGCTATATCGTAGGGTGCAGACGAAGATCCACGAATTACTTCCCTTAGATCAGCCGAAATTGTTTAGGCAGAAATTTTCCTACTCTCTCTCTCTCTCTCTCTCTCTCTCTCTCTCTGTGACTTTCCGACCCAAACGAGTGAATCTCGTTACGACATTTTGTACTCGTGTAAATTATTCGGTAGAGACATAAAAAACAGTGGCCTAAATAGGGCTCTTTGTACAGGAACAGGAGTTGCTTATTTTTTTCTTTTTCATGACAAGAAACTTTTGCTGCATGAATAGTGATTTCCTTTCAGCGAAATACCCAGCCATTCCTCCCCTTCCCACCGGATCGTTCTGGGGAGATCGATACACTGCTGTTCGGATCAAGAATTCACAACGTGGCGAATAGTGGTGGTTCCTTCAGTTCACCGGAGGAAGATCGGGTGGATTTCTTTTTCGGCCAGAACCACCGGGGAGACAGGACAGAACTGCAACGGGCAGGGTTATTACGTTAGATTACTACAATATTTTACAAGTTCACGTTCTAGACTCTTTTCTTTTTTGCTCCAACTTTCACCCCTGCTTCCAAATTTGACTTTGGTCCTTATCAGAGATAAGAATATATCTTCTGACGAACGAGAAAGCTGAAAAATATAAAAAGGAATTTGACCACCCTTGCCCTGACCATGTTGCCATAAAATTAGGGGCTAACGTTCTCAACTTACTTGTCGGACCCTGGCTTCCAAAAAACAGCTCTCAATACTTATTATCAGAGATAATAATATATTTTCTGAGAAATGAGAAGGCCGGGAAAGTGTATAGAAATTTTGAAGGGAAAAGTTTCCGACATTCCTGAGCCTACTAATCTCGATAAATACGGAGAATATGCGCCTATTTGGAAGTGAGTATTGGATATCATCTGTGATAACATCAGGTCGGCGACAGTAACACCAGTTTTCTCCAGAACCTGAATCAGGGAAGAAATCTAAACGCTGTGCTCTAAAGACAGAATGTCGGCCCTCTACTAAAACTACTCGATGTCTGCTTCCAAGGATCTTAAAATTTCTGTTGTCGGCTTACGAACTCACTTAACTACTGACTACGGATCTTCTGACTGTTTTCTCCTCAACAAGAGCTCAGAAGAAATCGATTTGAGCGTTAACCCTTTAAGAAGAATTGACTCGCTTAAAGAACTTTTAGGCGCCCAGAGAAATATTTTGAGCAAGCCTTTATATGAACACTTTTTCTTCCTTTAAATTAAAGGAATTCTCTTCTCTCTTTCTGTTGTGGAGTTATTTCGCAGTGGAGGATTTTATTTGTACTAAATCGGTCCTAAAATAGTTCGACGTACAAAACGTTAGGAACTTGATATAATAGGTATTACGTAGAGTAATCTTGTTGTGGTCACTGACTACTTTCGTATTCGACTAACTGTCGTCCGACATCGACTGACCCTCGTTTTTCTTACTACTCCTACTTATATTAGGTGGGAGAGTCTATTAACTATAGAATAGGTGTGTTTCACCATAACACTTTCTTTCTCTCATATTTTGTGTATATTCCTTTACCTTTTTTGTGCATTTAAATAAACATTTTCTTCTTCTATGTTACATCCCGAGAAGGAGTTTGAGTCTTTATTCTTCCGCCTAAAAGAGAGAATTGTCCGCTCTAATCTTTCAAACCGTTGTTGCTTTTATCGATTCTGCCAACTTTAACCTTAACCTTTTCATGTGGGAAAGCCGGGATAAATTTCCCACAGCACAACAGCGCGGCGGTTGGCAAGCAAAAACAGTAACAGTGTCGCTGTCCTCAGCCAACCATAGCAACTGAACATGTTTCTAGCAATGTTAGTTTCCTCGTTACATTCGTGTTATTTTCACCAAGAGAATCTGAGAAAAGAAAGTATAATAACAACGAAGAACCGTAAAGGCAGTAGAAATATATTCGGGATAATTTGGGTATCCGTAAAAATCAGTAGTCACTACGGGACAGGAGACAGAATTATCCAATACAGGATATTTCCAATATATAAGGGACGTCTGGCAACCCTAAGCATACTACCATCGACTGAACATTGTGAGCAGCAACGAAGTTTTAGAGAAAATTGAAACAAAAAGGACGCTACATAGCCTCAGAAAGAGACAGTTAAAATTTCTTGGGCACCGAATGAGGAAAGAGGGATTGGAAAATATGACACTCACAGGATTATATTAAAGGCAAGAAGGACAGAGGAAAGTAGCACATAACCTACCTAATGAGCTGGTGAAAAATAAAGAAAAGTCTTTAGTTAAGTCAATCATTATAATTCAGTGGTTTTTCTTTAACAAACAGAAAACCGCTTTTTGACCATGTAGGATATTCCATTATACTGCACGGTGGATAGCCATATCATTACATTCTCCTTCTCTTTAAAATATTTCCCATCGCTATAAATCCAATCACGTGGGCGGACGACATATACATTCAGATCTTCAGGAAGCTACAGATTTAGCATGCTTTGAAGTATTAAGTGGCTTGAAAGGAATGATTTTGAGAATTTTTTCCGGCAAAACTAGATAATCTCTGGCGGCATCTATAGGTATCTTTTAAGTGTCACAATTCATCTATCTCGGGGTTCCTCGTTAATAGGGGTCTCAAGTGTGGCTAAATGTCTAGTACATACTGTAGTTGTGGAGCGATGACAAAAATAAACACCAAGACATTTATTCATCAAATAATAAAAAAAAATGTTTGTTTATATTTCTGAGATGAGGTATTGAAACTCTTTACACAATTTACACTATTTACATTGTTCGGACTGTTGTACTCGTCTTTATTGTCATAGCGTTTCGGTTGTTATAGGGTTCAGCTCGAAATTCCAATGTATGTCAGCTGAAGAAGGCCGGAGCGTACAGCGGCCGAAATGTCGTGAATATGAAAATAAAGATGAGGACAACAGTCCGAACAATGTAAACAAAAAAAATAGTTGGAGGATCCACGCATCCTTCCGGTTAACAAATTAATCCTTTTACAAAGATATATTCAACATTTTTCAACCAACAGATCGCGTTCCACCGACAATAAAAACACATGCTTCGTGATCCCTTTGAAGAGTATTTAAGCGAGGCCTCTAGATCTGACAAGCCAGTAAGTAGATAGAGACGGATACATGCGACATCAGTTCACGGCTCGGCTTAAGAGAGATTCCCTTACTCATTCACTCGTCTTCGTCACCAAGCTACGTGGAATTTACATTCTTCCTCGCCAAGCTACGTGACACTCACCAGGCTTCCCCATAAAGCTACGTGACACTTACACTTTTCTCCTCATTTGCTCCTTTGCCTCTTTTTTCACACTTGCATGCGAAGAAATCACATTCTTTTTAATCTTAACAAACAAGTACAGATAAGGAACTTTAAAATATGTGAGTAATTAATAAATTAAAAAAGTGTAGATTTATTCAATGAGATCCCTGTGGTTGATGCTGCTCTGCGATTTTTTTAAATATTCGGTTTCATCGATGTCAATGATAATCGAAGATCACCAATTTTAAAAATATTGAGTCTATATTTACATCAATTAATTTATATTAATATATTTATATTTTGTTTAATTTTATTGATATTTAAAATGAATATTATTGTTTATTATAACTACAATCTTCAAAAATTTAAATGTAATGTCAATCAACATCTTCTGATGCGTTGACCTTGATATCCATTCTTCTTTTAACCTTTTCCTCAGTCCACCCTCTTTTCTCTTACTTTCACTTTCTGTGTTTTTAATCGTTTCACCCCTATCAAGGTGGGAATGCCACTAGTACGCAGAGGGTTACAGGGAATGAAAGTGATAGTCAAGACTGAGTATACGAAGGATTGAGGAAAGGATAAAAAATGAATGGGATTCAAGAAGATAGAAGATGGTGATTGATGTTGCATTTAAATAAAGATTGTAGTTATCAGAAAGCAAGTAAACAGAAGGGAGCTCCACAGGCGGGAAGTGTGAGAAAGGAAACTGTTCGAGTAGAAGTGGCAGTTGCATTTAGCTATTTCACCAGTAAAAGGGTGGAATCTAGATGCCAATCTAGTAGCACGTTAAATTCACGTAATGGGGCATCAGGAGAAAAAAATCTCGTCACAGAGCTTGTCATGAATATATTTGTAGAAAAGAAAGAAGCCATGTCACATCGGTAAGAAAGTGACTGAAGTCGACATTCCTGTTCAGGATCGATTACGTTACAGATCCTTCTTTTGATTTTGTCAAGAACCTCGAGATGAATAGTAGGCTCACCAGACCATATATAGCAGCAGTATTCAATGCACAGGCAAATGGTAGATTTTTAAATGTGCAAGATGGATTTCGACGGGAAAAATTTTCTGGCTCGACACAGTGACCCAACTTTCCTTGCAGTAGATGCAGCTATTGATTCGATCTAGTAGTTTCATTCGAAACGTGAGGCCAAGAAGGCACAGTCTGTTGCTCTCCAGGAGTATAGCGCCAGCTATGCTGATGGCAGACAGAAAAGTTTCTCTATGGTTGCTAAATGAGAGCCGGTTTTAAAATGTACAAGCCATTTCTTGTCCCAGTTAACCACTGATTAGAGGCCCTTTTTATGAGCAGCTACCAGGTTTACTTTGTCAGTTTTGATAGATTTGCTATTGAGACAGGAGTAAATGGTAGTGTCATCTGTATACATGGTGGCCAAGTCCAAGATTTTATTTTCAAATAAATGTTGCCTTATCAACGATGACTGCAGGCCGCTAATAAACGCATCCCGAAAGTATTCGCTCAACGACTTGCTAACTTCTTGGCGTCGAATTGTAAGGCGCTGACGGACAAAAACCTTTGAGGTTTGAGGTACTGCGACTTCAGTAAAACATTAACGTCCTCGTAAGTATTACATTCTGAAATTATCTCATAGATTCGGAGTGAAAAAAAGTTGACCAAAAGTTCCAGATTCTCCTGAGAAAGGGCCCATAAAAATTTCTCGAAGGTTCAAAATCAATGTTTCCATTCTTGAGTAGCCGTTTTGAGGCAAGGCTCCAAATTTAATTCGCAAACATTTCTTGTTTATTTTTTTTATTTTGGTTGAATAAATTGAATCGAAAAATAGCGAGAGGCCTTTAGTTAAGATTTTATTCAACCGAAATAATTCGTTGGCTTCTGTTTATCAAACACAAAACAACTTTTTAACCACGTGAAATATGCCATTCTAATCCACAGTGCCGGAGCGAAAACATATGCCATCACAACAGTGATTAGGAGATATAGCAAAAAGACAAAATTTACTAAAGTCTACAAAGGGCAAGGAGTTGTGGGGAGTCATGACCTCGCACGTCCTGAAAGGACATGGTACATAGAAGAAGGAATGTACTTTCAGGAGAGATAACTATACAATAATTTTAATAAAAACAAAATGCTATATGACTCTTTCTCTTTTTGTCCTAATCCAACAATAAATAACATTCAAATAGCTACAAAGAATAGGAAATTGTGGAGAGCCATGATTGCCACATCCTGAAGGAACATGTCAAAT